TTCTATATTTTCTTATTAATTATATTTTAGATTTATAAATCGCTTCTATAAAAAAATATGATAATCTTTTAACAATGGTCGAAAGAAGTTAAGATGAAAATAGTGGCCGAAACAGGGAAAATGGCTTATACAACTATTTTTAAAAGATTCGAGCAGCAAACGAGCACCATCATCACGATCAGCATACATTACATTTTAGTTTATACGTGGTAGAGCCATACTGCAGCTATATTAGTAGCATAGTTGTAGCACGAATGGGTCGACTCGACCGGGGAAGAACCACGCTCTCACAGAATACCAGCGTAAAATAGCAGTTTGACACTGCTGTGTTTCGTATGGTGAGTGTAGAGAACCGGAGACCCATTTTACTGGAAAAGAGGCATTCCATCTTAGTCCTCACGGGTGACGAGTGACGACGCATCTGCATTTTGATTCTTTATTGAGGATAAATGTAGATGTCCATGGGCCGCAGCAACCACTTGCCATCAGGTGGACTGTGTGCTCGTTTGTCACCCTATCCTATAAAAAAAGTCCTCAAAGGTGAGAACGCATCTGCATCTTGACTCGTAATCGATGATAGACGTAGATGTCTATGGGCCACAGCATGCACTTACCATCAGGTGGACTGTGTGCTCGTTTGTCACCTTTATTGTATAAAAAAAAACCACTTCAATCTTTATTTACACATTTAAATCATCATCATCATTACAGCCCTTCACAAGTCCACTGCTGAACATAGGCTCCCAAGGAATGCCACAAAGCACAGTCCTGAGCCACCTGCATCCATCGACTTCCTGCATGTCTTACCAGGTCGGTACTCCATCTAACGGGTGGTAGCACAACACTTCGCCTACCTGTACGAGGCTGCCAATCGAGAACCTTTTTCCCCCCATCGGTTGTCGGTTCTTCGAGCTATATGGCCGGCCCATTGCCACTTTAGATTATTAATCCGTTGGGCTATGTGAGTCACTCTGGCTCTACTGCGGACATCCTCATTTCTAAGTTTATCACGCAGAGAAACCCTGAGCATTGCCCTCCACATAGCTTGCTGAGAGACCTTGAGCATCCTCATTACGGCTAACAGTGGAGGACCACGTCTCAGATCCATAAGTCATCACTGGTAACGCGCACTGGTTGTACAATCTTGTTTTTTTAAGTTTTGAGGTATACCTGACGGGAAGATATATCGTAATTTCCCGAACACTGCCCAGTAGAGCTGAACCCGTCGATTGACCTCTCGGTCGAAGTTGCACTTACCTAATTGGACTATTTGTCCCAGGTAAACATACTCGTCTACAACTTCGAGCTTAGTGCTTGCAACAACTACCGGCATAGGTGTGACATGGATGTTGCACATTGTCTTTGTTTTGTCCATGTTCATCTTAAGACCCATCCGACACTATTGAGGTCATTGAGCATAGGGCTTCGGTCCTTCAGTGGTTCTGCCATAAGAACTATATCCTTTCCAATCCAGTAGCTTAAAAACGTCTTCCAATGCAGCGGTGAAGAATTTCTGGGATATAATGCACCCTGTCTTACACCTCTCTGCAAATTGTATGGATTTCGTAATCTGGTTCTGTACTCGGATAGCCATCGTAGCCCTACTGTAAAAAACACTTCAGCACTTCGATATACCGGCAGTCAACTTGACATCGCTGAAGGGACTGCAGCACCGTCCAAATTTCGACGGAATCAAAGGCTTTCTCATGGTCCACATACGTCAGGCAAAGTGGCAGATTGTACACTTCGGTCTTCTGTACAATTTGCCGAAGGGTATGTATGTGGTCTATTGTACGAAAGCCTTTTCGGAAACCGGCTTGTTCGGGAGGCTGAGTCGTAGTCTGCGTGCGAGACGATTCGTAATGACTCTCGAAAACAGCACTTAGACACGGCTCATAAGGGAAATCGGTCTGTAGTTCTTCATGAGAGCGTGGTCGCCTTTATTGAAGACCAAGACCACGGCAATTCTGCTCCACACCTCCTGAAGGACTTCCAAGTACCGGTTTTCCACCCGCTTTCAGAAGCTTCGCTGTAATTTCATTCTTGTCTGGGGCCTTGCCGTTTTAAAGATGCTGGAGAGCTATTCTAATCTCTCTCAGACTGATATCCAGGATATCATCCGAATAATGGCGGATAAGACTTGCTCTTGGATCGTTACTAACACTTGCGTGTTGCTCCAACGACGACGTGTACAGCTCCCCATAGAACCTCTCAATTTCACTATCAAAATGTCAGGTGTTCCTGAAACGATGGTACATACTCGGTCTTCAATTTCGACAGATGTTTGGCAGACTGGAGCCCTGGTTCCGCTTGATCGCTTTAGGTTATTAAGGCGCTCAGCGAGCTTTGGAGAGGGCTATGCTCGGAGTTTCTCTGCGTGATAGACTTAAAAAATGAAGATATCCGCAGTAGAAATAGAGTAACCTTCATAGCCCAATGGAATAGTAAGCTGAAGTGGTAAAAGGCCGGCCATATAGCTCGAAGAACGGACAACTGACGGGGAAAAAGGTTCTCGAGTGGCAGCCTGGTACCGACAGGCGAAGTATAGTGCGATCTGGTAAGACATGCAGGATATCAATGGATGCAAGTAGCTCGAGACCGTGCGTTGTGGGTGCGTTTCTTTTAGCCTGAAGGCATTGCCACAAAATAAAAAAAATGGTATATAATATTTAGGTACGTAGGTATGGTATTTAGGACTGTCTTTCCAATCATCAGATAAAGGTTAACTGTAAAATAAATTAAACCTTACCCGAATATGAGTAACAAATTGAAACAATTCAGCTATTTTATTCATACAACTGTAGTTTGTATTTGCTCATGCTGTAATCGTAAATCAATTTTATGTGGGGATTGAAAAAACAGCCCTAAAATAAATAAAAAAAATCACAAACTTTGTCAGTGGTTTAATCAACTACAACAAAAAGCATAACTTTTAACAACTAAATCAGTCTAAAAATATTCTACCTCTTCCAATTTCACTACTTGCTGAAGTATCGCATCTAAAAAGATAACCTATGCCTACCATTTCTGTATTTTCTTGTCCTCACATAAAAAATACAGATCTAAAAATTATTATGAGAAAAATATGGTCACTGATTATAAACTTTTAACTCTTACATCGCATTTGGTTGATTTTGATGATAATGATGATGTGTATAAGAAAAAATATGACTTAATATTATCACGGATGGCGAAAGGAGCCTTCTCGAGTGAAGTAATGAAATCTATGCCAGTGTACTTCAATCAACAAGCGAGTTTCACAATTACAGATTGACCAACACTTCCACAACAATGATGAATTGTCACAAACAAACAAGAAGCTCGTTTGCAATGAATTATGAATGGCATAATAAAAAAAAAATTACATATGAAACAATGGAACAAATCCAATATTTTAAAGACATATGATATATAACTAATATGAACATGTTGTTTAATGTTATGGAAGACATTTTTACACCTCAGGCGTAGGCTAAAAATTGTAGTTAAAATCATATCTCATTAACAATGTAACATTTACAGGTAAAATAAGTATAATTTGTAAAAAGCTAACAAATAATATTCTTTAAATACTGACAACAACAATAAATATTTGATAAAACAATATGATTAAAATTATTTTATTAAAATTTGCTGCAGAGGAACCACAGTATTTAACCCTGTCAATAAAATTCAAGCATTTCATTAAAAAAAAATGGCAGAATATCTTCATATTAAATTTTTTTTTGTTTGTCCCATAATTATGCTACTATGCCATTCACCCAATTATGATGAAACTTTGATAACATGTAATGTTGGCGCCCGCGAAGGGTTTTAACAAATAAAAAATTGTTTGTGCCTTTTATATGCATTCATATAGAGTACAATTCATCTTATTACTATGAAACTGTCAAAAAATACATTGTAACACATGCCGGGCACAGTGAGTAATAAATAAATTTGGTTAACTTTGTGACAAATTTGCCAATATTTAACAAGTGCACATTATACTTTTAATAAAACTAGTTTACTCTTTCGTCAGAAAACTTAGATAAAAAGTGATGTATATATTTTTTATTTGATATATAATAGTTAAAAATACAGTAAATATATAAGTACAAACTTAAATTTATTTTTCATTGCAATTAAAAATTTAAATTCCCAAACCAAGGAGGTAAAATGTATAAGTATTTACTCTAATTATTATTGCTATTGACATAAGGCATAGATATTAAAATTAATGTTTGCATATTAGGCACTTAATGTTTCTTAATATAACTGTCTTTGGGTAACGTAATAGTTTTATAATTGCCATGGTCATTTAATAATAAAAACCACAACATAATTTTACCACATTAAAACATTCCAATATAAGGAACTTGACTGTAACTGAAGGACATCAAAAGCATTTTAATGCATGAAAATATTGTATCTACAAATTTGTATAAATTTGGCATAATTTTACCAATTCTTTGGTATTCATGATATTGGCCGTTATATTGTATTTTACAATAAAAATTAATTGTGATAAACTTCCTAAAAACAAAAACTCCATGACATTGAAAAAATAATCTTAAAGAATATTGGTTCGCAGCGACTACGCTCACAAAGGATATTGAGCTTTGGAATTTTTTACTTATTTTACATTAAAGGTGTATTCTACTGAGATCCACAATCAACTGTAGGTTACTAAATTTCGATTGTAAAGTGAAAAATAATAATTCATAAAATAAACTTATTACCTTGGCCTTATAAACTTTATAACAGAAACAGAAACAGAACACTTACTGGTGATCTATCATTTCATCATTGATTATATAACAATTTTAATTCCAATTGGCATGCAATAGAGCGGCGAGAACATATCATAAATACGATATAGTACGATGACTGTAAATATTGCGTCATAAAAATATTCGACATGTAAATTTTTTTATAAAATTTAGTAAACTGCAATTGATTGTGACTTATGCTACCGTAAAGTTTCATGTTCCCAATCATGAACTCCTGTTGAGCGACACTCAAAGAGAGTTTGTGATGTTTTGGAAAAGCCTTTTGCCCCACCATGTCTCGAGGTCAAAGGGTTTGAAATCATGGAGTACTGGACTTGGTGTATCATCCTGGTAGTAAAGATTCGATGGAGGGGCTGGTGATGAGCTGCCTGATCCTAAAATTACAATATATCATGTTAATTTAATATTTTTGATTGCCTTCTTGAATTATATTATGCACTGTGTAGAAATGGTACACCCATTTCTTTGATAGCATTATGGCGGTGGCTTAAGACCAACTGATACTATGATTGCTATTACGCCTATGAAGTTTGCCATAATAGCAAAGTCTCAATACTATAGGAGAGGCTAGTATTTTAAAATTTTGCCTGCTGGGGTTGTCAACTGCCTCATGGGTCTACTGGTCTTAGTGCTAAACATGGTGCCAGACCTGCAGTTTTTATAATTTGGAATTGTTATCAGGAAGATGCTGTTGGCCCTGTCCTTAAAATTTTGTGTTGATTTTTCAGTTCATGAATCAATGCTTAATCTCAGAACACTGATAAATATTAGTAAGAGAATTTGAAGGAATTTAAAAGCAAAATTAAAAATAAAAGCACAAATGTCTAAAATGTTAAAATGGACTAATTTTAATTAAAGTAAAACCTTTTTTTTTTCTCTAACTTCATCACTGTGTCTATTAAAAATATGATATTATACATAACATACAATTTATATTTCTAAATTAGGGCCGCAGGTTCGAATACCACACAGAACAAGTATTTATATGGCCTACAAATAATTGTTCTGGGTCTGGATGTTTGTCCTTGTCTACCTATGTTTATAAACTGCCTCCACGATACAGGAGAAAATCCTAGAGTGGGGGAAATTTTTAATTAAAAAAATTAAGAGAAAATTAAATATGCAACTGTAGAACCTTACATAAGATCTAGTGTTAATAAAAACTTAATAAAATGAAAAATTTACCAATTGTGCTAGTAGGTGTTGATGGTTCACTATCTCCATTTGCTGTTTGAGTCCAAGCTGTAATACAAAAAAGGCAATCATAAATTATTTTCTAAAGGCTTGTTGCCTGTGTTTGCCAGAGACACAAGTTTCAATTCCAAATGGAACAAGTTTTTGTATGGACCGCAAATTATTGTTTTTTAATTATTTATGTCTAAAAATGCCTCCATGATATTTAAAAAAAGGGAGAAGAACTAAAATTTAATTCCTTTAAAGTTCCTATACTCATCAGGGGCTGTAAAAGGGTCTCCCTCATACTATTTGTTTATTTGGGGTTGTTATAAACTACTTTGCTTAATTCCGCATAAAGAAAGAAAATTATGTGTTCTCCCCATTTTTAGGGGACCTCCCACCCTCCCTCAATCGCGCGCACTATACCCGTCGCCGTCAATCCCAGCACTACCATCCCCAGCACCACCACACTGGGCACAACACACCACTCTCAAAATACGACACGTGTTTCGCCTCCACACGAGCCATCCTCAGGTGAAGTAGACTCTGTGGAGGCTGGCTGCTTAGAGACTTTTGACTTACATTCAACACCACTAGTCTGGGCATTTGACATATTTTTTATTTAACAGTTAATTTTTTTAAAACCTTCTGAGTGGACTAAGAAATATCACAATCTCAATGTTACCTAAATAGTTACATCACCATTATAGGTGATTTTTTTTAAAAATAATATAGGATTTCGAGCACCCCTAAAGTATAAGACATTTAATTTTAAAAAAAAAATCTAGTTATAAGTGTGTTTGGAATTTTATTACTCAATCATACTAAAAAGGCAGGAAGAATTTAGATAATTGGCAGAGAGTTAGGATAATGAAGTTTTTTTTTTAAATTAAAGATTGGGTATTTGATGACGGCTCTTAAAAAGTATTTCATTTGACTAGGTCAAATATCAAATTCTACAGGAGTAAAGTCACAGGCAAAAGCTAGTATTATTTATGCATCACTTGTAATATAATGGTCATAGCTAATGTAATTCTCAGTTATTGATTACTTATTGAATATTATATAAAAACTATTCAAGGCGCCTGTAATAAAAATACATTGTGAACAAGGCCAATTGTATTTATTTTAACGCAAACACAGTATGTATGAAAAAAATATTTTTAAGATACTTTGTTGCAATAGATACTAAATTTTAATCTATTTGTAATTATTTCAATAAATTAGAATGAAATAAGAATAGTAATTGAATTATTGTTTTTAAAGAGTGACAAAGCAAATCTATTGCAGAAGTTAAAGGCAGTCGGGAAGGGATGCCCTAGATAAAAGTTTATTGACCAAATTGGCGATATATTTAATATAGGCCAAATAAAGAGTACCCTTAACTGACAAGCATGTAGAATACAAGGATTTAAAGAGAGAGAGTTGTGTTAGGATCGTGCCAAATGGAAGTCCATGCCAAACTCATGCCTACCCCTCTGGGTGACAGGCATGAGTTTTTATATTATGTTATGTTTGTTATTGTTTCTTTACTGGACATATACACCATTATGGTATAATATATGGTATTTACACATTTACATCTTACGGTGGGTGATTGTTACTAAAAACAATCATTAGTAAATTGTTCAATTTGATAACAGATAATAAAAATCAGTGTAACTTGATTATTGCAGAGCATATATTAATGAGACGTGCAGTCTTCTTCTAAATCTACGTACTAATATAACACTATGACGATTATTGAATAATACAGGATAGGTTAATAAATAATGAAATTGACAAAAACTTACTTTCACTTATATAGCGAATGATTTCTTCATGTTGTGGAGTAATAATGTGGTGCTGTATTCTCTGATGTACAGTCTTTTTACCATTGGAATGGAAAACTGGCTTGGGCATGCTGCAAAGTAAATTATGAAAATAGTAAAAAGCTAAATTTGTTTGCTCGGAAGGAAAATCAACAATACATTTTAAAAGTATTTTGTGTAAAAGATGCCATGAACCATACTAAAACATAGTGAGAACAATTATATGGAGGTTATGTAAAAGTTGTGATCAAATATCATAGTGCTTTGGGTATATTGCATCATGTGGAAGTTTTATACTTACTTAATAATTTCTCCATTGTCTGAATCTGAAGATTTTCTGTTATGGTCTTTACGGCTATCTAGTCTTTCTAAATTTTGAGAGAGTCCTGAAAAGTATGAACCAAAATTTGAACTTTATAATCGGTCGCAAATTACGGCAGGTATTAAATAATAATTTTCAATTCTGTTACCGCACTTACCTCTTCTGGTTTTTGCTACAATTTTGCTTGGTCCTTTTGAGACTGTATACATTGTAAAATTTTGCACAATTTTTAAATAAAAGTATAACAATAGAACAGAACGATTAAAATTAAATGAAGTTATAACCAGTGTTACCAGTTGCGGTTATACCACAGAGTACTATTTTAGAGGGAATTGGCGATGCAAACCGTATACTCAGTATATAAAAAGTACTCTGTGCGTATACTGCTTCGAAATTAAGGATGGGCGATTATTACTAAAACTAATTGAATTAGTCGATTGTTCAGTTTAGTCGATAACATTCGATAACAATCCATGTTAGTCGATTTGTTATCGACGGCGTGCGGCGGCGGCGGGCGACAATGACTGACACGGTTACCGTGTCAACTTTAACTACTAATTTGTAGCGCAGCGCATCGATTATGCGTACTACTAAATAAGTAGTTACAAAAGATGGTGCGGCGGGCGTACGGTGCGCTTGCGCTAAGTCTGTGCGGCAATACTTACGTTACGACCAGTGGAGTAGCGTGCCTTAGAGGGGCCCTGTATCAAAATTAGTCGGGGGCCCAAATGAAGGGTGAAGATTTTTCACAAAAGAAACAAAACTCTCGCATTGAATTAAAATAATTATATATTGATTATAAGTTATTACTTACAATGAATACTCTTAGGAACTAAGCTTGGCAAACAATTCAAACCAACATCCTGTTCCATAGAAGTCCTTAGAATGTTTGCTTACATCATATAATTGATACGGCGGTAGCTACGCCCCTGGTTACGACTGCAGTTATTAGGTATACCATTGGCGCCAATAGATTATTCAATTGTCTGTTTTGTATTGTAATCAAACCATCGATCGAGGGAACATCCATTCTAAATATGGCGTTAATGGTTAAATTTATTTATTTGTTAATTTTTTTAAGAGATAAAATTAACAATTAAAATATTACTTTTGTATTGAATTTTTATTTTTAAATTGTTGATGTTAATTTTATTGCTTAAATTTTACGCATGAAATTTTAATTCAATAAACATTTCTTCATACTTTAATAGGTACCTACAGGACTCTAGTATGAAAAAGCCTTATTAAGCTAAGCGTATTTAAAAGTTTATTAATTCAATGTTTACATTATATTATGATTTTTAGGCATCGTGTCAAGCCAGCCTGTCATTCATAACCCGCGCGTGACCTTTCTCTAAAAAAGTCAATACCCAACTGAAGTAAACAAATTAAAATAATTATGTATTATGTAATACTTCAAAATAATCGACGCATTCAACACTGTCCCGCACGCAGCGCCCCTCGCGACTTTTCGCAGTTCAACGCACGCACAAGCACCCATCGTTGCATCGACGCACAGCGCACAGCGCACACTGCGCATGAGCGATCCGCCGCTATGTAATGCATGCGCATTACATAGCGGCGGATTGCAGTGTGCGTTGTGCGTACAATTAGTAGTTTGTCGATTGTTACTCGAATAATCATGGTGAGGAACTACTAAATCGACAATCGAATGCGCAATAGCAAAATTTTCGATTCAGTCGATTGTTTTCCTTGCAACAATCGTCCATCGCTGTTCGAAATCTATATATTGGTACAATATCTAAAAACCGCTTACTGGTTCGTTCGAAAACTATGTATTACAAAATTCGATATTTGCGCACCACCGTTACGCCTATATCGCTTCGCATCAGTTGGTGGCTAGATGCACCGTGTGTGACAGAGCGCGAGCGATATAGGTATTATACTGGTTCTTTCGAAAACTATGTATTACAAAATCTGATATTTGCGTACGGCTGCGATGCCTTTATCGCATAGCATCGGTCGGTGGCTAAATTTGCCGTGTGCGACAGAGCGCAAGCGATATAGGTATTAAAGTTTAATTTCTGTTGCCAAGTCAATCTATTTATTTAAAACATAAAAGATTTTTAATATTAATATGGTCACTATAAGATTTTGTTAGGTTAGCTAATTACGTAATAACTTGAGACAGAAGGACGCTTAAGTAGGGACTGAATAAATTAACCGACTTGGTATTACATGGATCTCACAACTTTTTACGTTGGAAGAACTGAGTTGCGAGACTTGGTTTTTTTTACAAGTTATGTTTTTGATGGCATTTCGTTTTTTAAAACACTTATGAAAGTATTTCTTCGCCTTTATTTGAAATACATCCTCATCATCATTGGAGTCTCTCTTCACTTTTAATATTTTGTTTATATCTTTAAAGTAATTACTTATGAAAAATCTGCGAGATAAATTAATAACAAATTCTATTACTTTGTCTTTGTGTTGGCTTCAATTTCAAAAATCAAATTCTATATGCAGAAGTATTATCGTTTTTATGAATTATTTCATTTCATTTCATGAAAATATGAAATAATTCATATGTTATTCATAATATGTTATAATTATATGAAATAAATGATGTTTTGAAATTTCATTGTTAATATCTTGCATTGCAGATATGCAGGAGAGAAGAGATTCGGATGAACTGACAAGCCAACGTCTGCCAGCATATTCTCGTCATTTAATATATTCATTTTTAGGGTTCCGTACCTCGAAAGGAAAAAACGGAACCCTTATAGGATCACTTTGTTGTCCGTCTGTCTGTATGTCAAGACCCTTTTTCTCAGGAACGCGTAGAGGTATCAAGCTGAAATTTATACCAAATATTCAAGTCTATTGTCCCTTGGAGCTGCAAAATCAAACTTCTAAGCCAACGCAATCAAAAGATACAGCCGAAAGTTTTCGACATTCGCAAGGGAATAAAAATCTACAGTTCCCGTGAACTCAGAATCTTAAAATTTGGTACGAAGCAACGTATAGATAAAAGAAGAACCACAGATAAAGGAAAAATTGCGAAAAGCATAAATTTTTAGTTATATCATATAATAAAAATATTTTTAATAATTTTAAACTTATATAGCTACGGATTTGTTCGGAATCCTCGGTGCGCGAGTCCGACTCGCACTTGGCCGGTTTTTCTTGGGAGGCGATCTTAGTCTTTAGTACATTGCTGGCAATTTTTAAATATATTTTCTTAGCACTGCGTACAAAATATCCGCTCACAAATTGTGGACCGCCTTACACTCGAGGATCATTATTCTTTTGACTTAGGTCAGTAAATTGCACTGTGGGTATGCTCTCAACTTCACTGGTCCCTGTGGCTTGGCAGTCGTCTATGATTAGGATGTATAAAACTTCACTATAAAAATTTTCACAATTTGCCCCAGAGGCATGGACACTTGATATAATATTTATTAACAAGCTGGTGTAGGGACTTTCAAACTACAGAAAGTTGTGGGGTTTGTATTGCGACACCTATGGCTCCTAATCACCCCAAAAAGTTTTCTACAGGGTCTTGGTTTAGATGCCGCATCCAAACAGAAATTACGCCATAATCGTTTTTTAATTTATTTAAAAGTATTTGAACACCATCTAGTGTCCATACAATTTTCTAAAGTAGGGACTTTCTCAACTTTACATGTTACTATGTTAGTAAGTTTCATGTTTATTAATTCTATTTTAGGCTTATTCCATACATTATTGTTTTTTCTTTTTTATAGGAGAGGGGGTAAACAAGCATGCGGCTCACCTGATGGTAAGTGACTACCGCCGCCCATGAACAACCGCAACACCAGTGGAATTGCAGATGCGTTGCCGGCTTTTTAAAAAGGAGTAGGCTCTTTTCTTGAAGGTTCCTAATACGTATCGGTTCGGAAATATCGTTGGTAGTAATCGATTCCACAAGGAAGTTGTGCGAGGAAGAAAACTTCTTCCGAATCGCACAGTGGTGGACCGCCAATCATCCAGATGGTATGGATGGTATCGCGAGTTTTGTCGCGATGTGCGATGGTGAAATTGAGCAGCTGGAATTATTCTGAACAATTCCTCAGAGCACTCCCCGTGGTAGATGCGATAAAATACGCAAAGAGATGCAATATCTCTTGGCAGCGCCAGTGAATCGAGCCGATCGGAAAGGACTCGGTCGTCGACAATCCGAGCCGCTCTGCGCTGGATGCGGTTAAGTGAAAGGAGCTGGTAATGGGTAGCCCCAGCCCAGAGATGGAAATAGTATTCCATGTGAGGCCAAACCTGCGCCTCGTAAAGTTGCAGGCGGTGTGCTGGCATGAAATACTGTCCCGCTCTGCTGAGCACGCCAAGCTTTTTAGAGACAAATTTGGCCTTCCCTTCCAAGTGACCACGAAACTGCACGTCACTCGATATGTCGACGCTGAGGATTCCAATACTGGCTGAGGCAACAAGGGGCGTGCCTTTTAATTGAGGAGATACGGCAAAGGGGTTCTTTTTAGCGGTAAACGCGCAAACTTGTGTATTCTGAGGATTAAACTAGACTAGATTTAGTTGCTCCCATATGGTCTGACACAACTGTTAACTTCGCCTACGCGGATTACAGACGTGGAAAATCATGCACCTTCCCTGTTTGACCTTCTGCTGACCTCTCATTCAGATAAATATCAGGTCTCCGTCCACTCCCCTCTTGGCTCCTCAGATCATTGTCGAGTCCGGAGTGTGGAGTCACTCACACTAACGTCTGCATTCTGTAGACTGGCTAAAAAAGGCGACCGCTCAGACTCGTCTAGCTATGCCTATCGCCATCACCTTGTTCTCCAAAATAATGGAATCCATTATAAACTGCCAGCTCATGCGGTATCTTGAGGATCACCAGCTGATTCTTGACCGCCAGTAGGTTTTTCGTCGGGGTCGGTCAGCTGGTGATCTACTGGTCTACCTGATTCATAGATGGGCGGAGGCATAAGAGTCCAAGGGAGTGGCATCTGCCGTTAGTTTGGACATTGCGAAGGCCTTTCGATCGAGTTTGGCACAAAGCCCTTCTTTCGAAGCTCCCTTTCTATGGGCTTCCCGAGAAATTGTGTAACTGAATCACCAGCTTTTTTACATATCAGAGCATCTCCTCAGTTTCAAGGCCCTCGTTGCCTCAGCCAGTATCGGAATCCTCGGTGTCGACATATCGAGTGACGTGGAAGTTTCGTGATCACTTGGAAGAGAAGGCCAAATTGGCCTC